AGTACCGCAATTAGCAACTGTGCTAAGAAATTTTTGTACCGGTCAAATGCGATATAATTGCTATTGTTATTGTTACGATTGTAACTGCTACCCAAGGCGATACTCGTGTCTCAGCTGGAGTGTGGGGCTTCCTTGAATGCTGCCTATTAAGTTGATACACAACAGTAAAAATACTGCAAGTTCCACTTCGATCTGTTGAAAGAGTTGAAAGAACATTGCAATGGCAATGTTGATAATGATGCCGATTATGATGATGTTAAGAGAAGTTAATGTTTATGGATGTTGGTATAAATGTACTCGTATCTGTTGCAGAGCAGTTGTTTTGTATCTCGCCATGGTGATGTAGCTGATTCTCGTCGTTATTGCTATTGTAACAGCAAAGTGTTATTTTGCTACGTTTAAACCGTTTAGTTTGACCCAGTTTAAAGCAAGTGGAACGAATTGGCAAACACCACAACAAAAACCATATAAAAAAAAATTTTTTAAAAATGTTTCATTGTGAACACTGGCATACACTCAACCAAAAATTTTAGTGATTTAAATTATTTTAAATTAATAATAATTATTTATGAAATAATAATACAGTTATCGGTAAAGGTTTATTAATTTTTATAGTTTTGCATATTATTAAATTATGTTTAATCAGTTAAGGTGAGAGGTTGAAAAAACCATAGAGTAATTAAAAATGATTTATAAATTTATTGATATATTATTAGTAGCTCTAATTAAATAAGCGAATATCATTTTTTCTTTCATAACACAATAAAAAAACATTTGAATTTACAAAAATGACTGACATAAATATTCCAGAGTTTATCTTTTTATTGATCATTTTTATTGGGCCACTTCACCTGTCCATACCGAGAATTATTTATCAAAGCTTGAAAACAGGTTGCGTTGCAGCAGCAAAGCGAAATATGCCAATGTTGCATATTTCGAAAGCATGAAGCAACACTGACTCGGGTATCAGTTTCGCAAGCATTTGTAATCGATGAGTTATTCGGCATTCGCTGCTGGCAAATTAATTTTTATAATAATTCGCTTAACCCACTTTTTCGTCACTTATCAATTTCTTATTTTCTTAGCGGTGTAATTCAAATAAAAAATAATTCCACACTGAACGATAAGAAAGAGAAGAGAAAATTGCAAAAAAAAAAAATTAAAAATAATAATAATTTCCATAAAATTCAAATGTTGCCTTATCAGAGCCGCATTACTGTAATCAAGCTATATATATATATATATTATAACAAACAAATACTATATATAATAAACAAATACTATATACAATAAACAAATAATATTTTTATTTCTTCTTGAAAAATGAATACTATAATTTTTAAGTTATTTTAAGCGCTTTAAGTAAGTAAGTTGAAAAATATAAAGAAAGATAGTAGATACACTCTAAATAGTTCCAGCTATAGTCGTATTGAAAATGTGTATACATCTCAGCATGTTAATCAAGGTCAGGGTTATACATTTTATGTTTTCGAAAGTAAACTTAAATAAAACATAATGAGATTTTAATAAAATTTTCTTTTCAAGATGTTTGAATTTTAATGGGTAACTGACGAAAATTGCAACAAAGAAAAACGCTCTATTTTGTTTATTTTTATTAAATTTAATGAAAGATAAAAGAAAATATACGAATATGTTAATTTATTTTGGTTCAATATGACTACCTCTAGCATGAATTATGACTTTTAAACGGCTAATAAAGCTAACGCACGCTGTCCGCAAATTACTTTGAGGTATTCTAGTCCATTCTCGGATTAGCGCTTGCTTCAGAAGTTCGCTGATCGACATTTTAAAATTTTTACTCTAGATCGAGAAATCTAAAGTATTTATATCAGGAGAACATGGTGGTCACTGTGTTGTAAAGCACGAAGCTTTTTTCAGTCCTTCTTGGTTGACCCGTAATTTGTGCGATGGTGCTGAGCCCTGTTGCAATGTTCAACTCTTGCGACCGATGTTCATTTGGTCAGGGCTTTAGTGTTGCCTTTCAAATAATTTACCGTTGGATTAAGACATTTATTTTTACCCCACGGTCGATGAATACAAGCGGAGAGAGACCATCTGTCGTTACAGCGCGCCACACTATCACTAACAGTGGCGGCTGCTTTCTGGTGGCCCTTTGTCAGAAACATCACAAAAAAAATCAAATTCGGCACCCCATCACTTTTAGCCAAACGAACTAACACGTTCGCTCTTTCGACTCTAATTTTGTTTTGTTTATTAGTGAGATCATGCACTTTGTTCAACTTCAATGGGTTTAGTGCTCATCCCTGTGGAGAGGACGGTGAAAGTGACTCACGTCTGCTTGTTACTGGCCAAAGCAAGTACAGCGCCGATTGGATAAACTAGGAATTAATAATTTTGACAAGCTTGGACAGCTCCAGCACCAGTCTCTAAAGAGTATTTTACGCTTTGCCAAAGCTTCAAAGTGGTTTCTAAATGTTGAAGATCTTACACGATAAGATATTTGGTTAACCGGCATCACTGGTTGGCATAACCCAACCTAACATATGCTTCAGAGAAGATTTTATAGAACTTAATCCTTTTGAGGCAATAATCGATTTGGTATCGATAAATCAGGACATAGCTGGCAATAGCTCAGCTTCAAGTTAACAGATTGTCAAAATATTTGAAAAATTTGAAGAGGTAAAAGGTAAGGTAAAAAAATAAGTACTCATATGGTTGCAGTCATTAGAACTGATATTTTTGTAACAGCTACGTTATTCTTAGAAATGTTCGGGCTTATCACTTCTTTAAACCAAGTACCACTGCCTCAGATGTAGTAAATTTGTTTTTGGAGATCTTCATCAATATTATACAATTACTATATTATTTAATACATTTGTACATATTAGAGTTGATATCCCTAATTTTTAGACTTTGGACTACTAATAGTTATTTTATTCTGGCCAATTCTATTAAATGTGAACTTCAGTGGCGTAACATTTTTCCATGGTTTTCTTCAGCAAGAAGATTTAATCGGCTGTTAAACGAATTGGACTAAAACCGCATCACCGTTTATACTGAAATATACTATTTAACTACGTTGAGCAAGAAAATTTTCCTAAAGTTCTCACAAATGACTATTCCGTTGTTCTTATGAATTAATATAGTCTAATTTTAAGATTTCTTGTGTGATTTCTTCACTTCATATTTGAAAGAAAAATATTTGCGTGTTTCTTGTTGTCTCACATTGGAGTCGAACTCAACAAAAGATCGAATGGTGGGGTCCCCCTGTATTTTTATTAAAATATTTTTAAAATAAATATTTTCTGAATATAGCAAAAATAATTATTAGCGGATCACTGAAACAACTTACCAGAGATCTGAATTTACCCCATCATCTGCTTAAACTCTGTTTCATGTAATTTTCTGTATGCATTTATATTAAGTATTATACAGGGTTAGGCGATTGAAGTGTCACCTATTCAAGCGATCATATTTTTTTTTATGTGAAATTATGTTTTATAGATTTAAATTACAAAAATTTGTGAAAATAATTAAAATTTCAGACTCTATTCACTCTAGCTTAATGTGTTCACCTTGACTATGACCTTCAAACGGTTCACGAACATGATCTTCCGGTATTTTGTTCTATTTATGCGCAATAGCTTTCTTTCGCTCATCCATACTAACATATTTTTTAGTCCTCACCTTGCTCTCCAAAATGGACCAGATGGAATAGTTCATCGGATTTGCATCTGCCGAACTCAAAAGCCATTGTGTGGACGAAATAAAATGTGGAACATGATTTTTTAATTATTCTTGGTTCACACGAGCTTCTTGAGACGGTGCCGTGTCTTGTTGGAACATCTATGGTATACGAACGAAATGTTTGCGTGCCCTTGGCTCTAAAAAAATTTCCAAAACATTTTTCCGATAATAAATCGCATTGACTTTGACACCAGGCAATATCAGTTTGACAGATATACCTGTGTGTAGTTGGTAACACTTCTTCAAACGCCTAATCCTGTATATTTATTATTGAGACTTTGTAGTAGGGATGTCGTATTTTGTTGTTGTGTTTTTGTTGTGCAGCTCTTAGAACTATTCGCGCCATCGGTTAAGTATCTTTGGTTCTCTCGCTAAAACCTTATTTGTTTATATAGCTGTATATATTTATGTCAAATATCTATAAATATTTTATATCTAATTTAAAAAATTTGATAAAAAAACATTGTTAATTACAAACATTTAAATTAATTTTGAAAACAAAATGTCATATATCTAAAAACATCTATAAAAGCATCATAAAATTCATTAGCTCTACTATGAAAATGGAAGAATTCTTCCAAAAATGAACCATAAAATATACTAGACAAGGTGCGAGTACAAAGGGAACTTAAAAGCACTCATAAATAATAAAGTAGATATTTGACAGGCTCGAGATGTCAACAGCTCTTTTGTTTTATCTTAAAGCGTTAAAAGATTCGAATTAGGTCAAAACGTTAAGCACTTATAGCCACAATAAAAAACGCACATCAAAACGTTACAAAATGTGTTACAAAAAAATAATTTCAATAAATTAAGAATAACGATGAAAATATCTATGCAAAAATATCTACGAAGACTTACAGGTTTCAAGAAATGGAGGCGAATAACTCCGCCGATGATAAAATTTTAACATTTTAAAAATTTAATTATCAAATCTGCTTTTAGCGAATTTTATTATTTTAGACATTAATTTTTTTCTTTTGTCTTATGAGCGCTATTAACCGAGGCCCTATGCTGTTAATTGGTGAATTTCAGAAGAATCGTGTCCGCTTGAACGGTATAAGAACCGTTCTGTCCTAACTTTCTTTTTCAGTTCGGATTTTATCATTTCGCTGAATGTTGTAAGAGTAGGTTTTGTGCGCGGTTATTATTTACGATATTTTATGTTCGTGTTGAAGCTGATATTGTGTAAAATATTGCTTATTAAAAAATAAAAAAAAAGTATTAATAAAAAATTATAGTAATAAACACGCTATAAATCAAGAGGAATTATGAATTTGACGGCTGCGTTGCATATCGGCGTTTTGCTAATAGTTTTTAGTGCCGCTCAAGCGGTGAGTGTTGAAATAAATTGCATATTCCCGTACTCCTCTCGTTTACGCTCAGTTAAAAGCCAATAATGATTTATAATGCTTTTTTAGGGTAATGGTTATTTCTATCCAAAACCTGTGGGCGTGCCAATACTTGAAGAAAACGGTGAACAGCAAAGCCAACCGCCAGCAGGTGTACAAGGCGATTTTATTGATGATATTATAGCGGATCAAAAGGAGTTAATATTCCAATCAATATTGGCTGGTAACGCATTGGCTGAGGCTGCTGAAGCTGCCGAAGGTGGCAGTAAGGCATTTCGCGGTAACAAGTGTGCACAATGCAGTGAGTAGAAGAGGAGCTCATAAATCTTAAAAATTTGAAATTAATTTATGTGAATTATTTTATAATGAAATCAGCTTGTGGTGTACCAAATGTCAATCGCATCGTGGGTGGCGCGAGAGTGCGCACTAATAAATATCCTTGGATTGCACAGTTGATACGCGACTCATTTCTCTTTTGTGGTGGCACACTTATAAACGATCGCTACGTGCTGACGGCGGCACATTGCTTATACAACATGGACACAAGTTCCATTTCAGTGCGTTTGCTGCAATTAGATCGCTCCTCAACTGACTTGGGCATCATGCGTAAAGTCATCTATACCATCATACACGCGCAATACAATCCTATAACTTTAGTGCATGACATTGCACTACTTAAGTTAAATGCACCTGTGGTACTGGCAGAAGATATGCGACCAGTCTGTTTGCCAAGTAGTGCAAATCAGAATTTCGACTTTAAGCAGGTTTTTAACACACAAAAAAAAAATAAACTAATATTTTTCACAACTTTAGGTATAAATGATTTAATACTTTCATTTCTATAATCTAAAACAGTCAATTGTTGCTGGCTGGGGCTTGACAAAGGAAGGGGGCTTGACTTCAAGTGTCTTGCGTGAGGTTAAAGTGCCCATTATTACAAATGCACAGTGTCGTGCTACTTCATACAAAAGTATGATTGTGGATACGATGCTATGTGCTGGTTTAGTGAAAGATGGTGGCAAGGATGCTTGCCAGGTAGGCTAAAAATAAGTCTTATTACTTTTATGAAAATGTTATTTATTGTATATTTGTGTATGTGTTTAAAGGGTGACAGTGGTGGTCCATTGATTGTAAGAGATCGCATCTATCGTCTTGCTGGTGTTGTTTCATTCGGCTATGGCTGTGCTAAACCCGATGCACCTGGAGTCTATACACGCGTCAGCAAGTATTTGGATTGGATTTCAAACTACACATTTGATGCTTGCTACTGTATAAATTAGTTTTAGAAAATATTTTTTTTAATATTTATAATAATTTGTAAATTAATAATTAAAACTCTGTATTACTTAAAAATTGTAATGAATTAAATAAAAAAATAAATAAATTTTTAAAGAAATTCTTATTATATGTGAAAACTTACTCAAACTTTTAAAAGAAACTCATGAATGACAAAAAAATATTTTATGTATAATGTGTTATAGTTTGAGGTCTTCAATTTCAATTAAATTTGAGCAATAAAAAAAATTTTAATGCAATCTTAAAGATTGGTATTTATGTATATGTAAAACATTTATACTAGAACTACTAGATACTAAAGTATACTATATTTAGTATATTAAATAAATTAAATTTAAATTAGAATTAAACTATTTAAAAAATTTCAAATATATTTTAAAATTTCTTGTTTAACATCATGTTTCCACTGATCTTATTTTGGCAATTTTGCTCATTAAGGTCGCTGTAAAGACAAGCATAATTTACAATATAAAGAATTTTCACATAAATGAGCTCATTATAAATAAATCAAATCAACTTATATGAAAAATATATGGTCACGCCCTTGTGAATCGTGGAGTAATATTAGCATGGCTTTCTACGTATTACGTTCCTAGTTTAGGTTCCATATATAAAAAAGAATAATACAAAAGCAAGCAATAAATAATGTCTCTGCAAAAGAATAGTATTGAAATTTAACAATTAAAAAAAAATATATAATTTTTTAATTCAATTATTCTACAACTGGTTTATGATTTCGTTCTAACATAACACAGCAAGTGAATCTGTTAATGAAAAACTTTCACAGCAAATAAACAAAGCTCCAGAAAAAAGTGCGATGTCAAGTATGGCTTTGGGTCAGTTAGCTTATGAACGCTAATTCGGAGTTTTAAATTTGGCAGGGCACGAGCTTGATTCCTGGCACTTACAGTCTCAGAAAAATTATTTACGAGTAATTCAATATAAGAAATAATTCCAAAACCACTGATGATGGGTATTTGGCAGTGCTCGAAACAGCTGTATGGTCAGCCAAAATTTAATTTATTTAAATAATATAAAAAGTATTTTTGTTGTTGTAGTTCACTAATATTCGAAACATCTCTTTCAAAGCGAAAAATGTTAAATGTAATTCTTAAAAATTAATTTTCTACAAGGAAAAATTTTTAAATTTGAAATATTCGTCATATGTTTCAACAAACAGAATATTTCACATGCATAAATCAAATCATACCAATGGAAACAGCCACATCTTAATTTCATTAACATAAGTAATTGTGCTGCAGTGGAAACAGGATATTAAAATTTCTGCTTCAAATTTCACTACACTTGATTCTCATCTCTGTAAATGAGTTCCGTTTCCTTTCTATGTAATGCAAGTGTCCTCTGTGTATATTAACAATTGTTTTATAATCTTCTGCGATGATATTTAATAATTAATTTTACAGTCCGGAATTGTGGATTATATGACTCTTGAATGAACCCCATATTTAGGTTTTGCAAGTGATTGGGTTTTCGTAGTTTGTGTCAATAGATCCCATCAATTTATGATATGAAATTACATTGGTCCTGTGGATATGTGTCAATACTTAATCGATTCTGTCATTTTGAAACATCTAAGTGCTAGTTTTATTAATCGTTGCTTAATACATAATTCCATGTTAAAGTTTAATATAATTTAATTATACTAAATATGTAATATGTTACTGAAATTTTGTTTGAATGTTTATTAACTTCTTAATAACAACTTTAAGGCTTTAATGACTGAGGATAAATAAATTGACTAACTTATTCACTTTAGCACTTGAACTGAAAATCATGTATGCTCCATTCTATCCTTTCCCTACTTTCTCTAATACCTATTCAGTTATTTCAATTCTCTTGTTTAATTAATTAATTAAGTATAAACTAAACGTTCCTGACTAGAATATGATAATAAAACTTTTAAAACGTTTAGTTGTATTTAGAAAGGAAATTTTAGTTCAAATGAAATGTTGTTTAGTCGATATTCAGTTATCTTAAAATAAATCATAGAAGGAACTTGAATCTTACTACTTACTATTAAGTTTAATATGAATTTAATGTTTTTTTTAGTGAGGCAGTTATTATATTATTAGTTTTTTTTATTGTATGCCAGTCTATATCTCATTAATTCAAACAATTGTCTGAATAATTAAACTATTTCTTTGTTATTAGGTAAATAGGTTTAAAACTAACAGATAATTAAAAAAATTTCATTAACTGTTAATACATATATTTTAAATTTATTGATTTTTAATGAATATTGAAATTAACAAATCTAAATCATTTTTCTAAAATGAATTTTCTAATTTTATATACCATTAGCTATTATGGTATCGATATTGATATATTATCAATGTCGAGAGATTTTTTTTAAAGCTTTTAAAGACTTCTTCACCTATTGAGAAACACTGCAAATGTTGTATCGATAATAATGCGAGTTTTTTAGTAATGAAAGCCGTAATCTATTGCATTCAATTCTGTATTATATCGATGTATTATATATATATATGGATATCTTGCAAAAAAACTGGGAGTACAGAAGTAAAATTGATTATTTGGCCATTTTAAGAAATCTATATTAGTTAAGCATCGAACCATAAGTCGATTCAATATTCAAATATTCAACTCTTAATAATATGTGGATTTAAAATTGCTGCAACATAGCATATTAGAGCTATAAAACAACATAAAATGTCATTTCTTACTATTGTATTTAGAACTGTAATTATTACGATTATGGCAATTTTAAAAAAGAGAGCTTTAGTTACGCCACTTTAACAACATGGTATTAAAGTATAATAATAGGAATGCATATCAACTTTTTATAATTATCATTCTATATCTTTATTTGCTTAAAATTTACCAAACATAGAAGATTTTATTTGTAGACAGAATAACAATTAAAATCTTAAATGTACCATTGAGAAAATTTAATTTGTTCGTTAAACATATATTAAAATGATTCTTTTAATTCGTTTATATATTCCAGATTCATATCCAAAAAGGGTACGAACTTGATTACTTGAACACGCTGATTTTTAAATAGATTTCAGTGAAGTCAGTTATTTTGAGCGACCACTTCAGTTGCTATAGCTTAATTTCTAAGATATCTGTTAGTTGTTTGCTGACAACTCAAGAACTAATTCACATCGATTCCTGGACACAGGGACAACTTGGGCAATTGTAGTGAAAACAAGCTTGCCAGGACAGAAATTCTGCTTTCTGACATTCACTTCTCAGATATTGGTGTCCCATTTGCAACAGTTAAATTGGCAATCAAACAAAACTATCTGAGAATTGCCAAGCAAGATGAACCCTTTTGTCAGATCTTCAGATTGACCTGGTCTAAACGAGACAGAAAATGCACCAGTCATCTGCTTTAACTAAAGCGTAACCTTTCCAATACTATAAAACATGCTATAAAACTGGATCTATATTATTATGACTTTTATCGAGGTTGTAGGTCTTGTGGATAAGAGGGAAACTGTGCTCTACCTTATGTGACAGTGTGCATCTTTAGTTAGGAGTAGATCTCAAACTTTTGTGGCCCCTTTTCTTACCGACCTAACAGAGCTATCATCTTGAAAAATCAGGGACTTAGCTTGATTCATCTCTACCTAATTGGGAAGTTCTACCTTCTCGCTTAGTTCATATGCTGAACTCTAATCGGTATTTGAGCACAATTGAGCAGAAGGCTGCCTCTTCAACCTAACTTCACCTACCATTTGTATTAATATGGTTTTTTATATGTATTGACTTAGTGAAAATGAACTAATTTAAGTAAATACGATAATATTTTCATGTCATATATTTATTTAAATGTTTAAATGTTCTTTAATAAGAATCAAATTAATGACAGATACGATTTTATAGAGTAAAAAGTTTGTTTACACCCACAGCTTGCTTATAAGGCCTATCATAGTCTAATATGATTGATATTTTCTTAGTAAATACTATACTGACCTAATTCGAACTCTTAAATTAACATTAATATCCATATAATTAATCACATTTAGATTTTGTCCCATAAAGACAAACTTTAAACAAAGAAAGAAGTTAAGAAGAAGTAACCATTTTCAATCAATCTTTCTCAAGTTGCCTTTCAAATATATAGTTTCACTTTTATTTTTTTTTTTTTCAAAAATGTTCAGACCGCTTCAGACCTACATAATCACCGCTATATAAATTTTGACACTAAAACATTTATCACTCGTAAAACTGTGATAAAATGAATAATTTAGTTGATCAATACTGACAGGCGGTTTTAATCAACAATGACGACAGCAATGCCAAGGAAGACGTTGCTGTCATCACAGTTCCAGTGAATGTGACAATTGTCGGTGGTAGTAAATATGAGAAGAATTTAAATAGTTTTCGCTTTAACAACGCAAAGATACAGATTTTGTGGTAAAAGTACACTGACGATATTCCACTCGAATGTCAAGGACACGAACTAATTGCCTCGCATCGTTATCACTTGTGTACTGTCATCATTGGCATTTTGTTGCAATAATTTTTATCTGCTAGCTGGTTGCGGTCGATTGCTTTGAAGTTTGTATCTAAAAGTAGAATTAATAGTGCATCGTTAATGGCACAATAAATAAAGTCGTAGCATTTCAAATATTTAAGCCTATTTACACCACCATTGCCATGTAATGAAATACGATCAAGAGTATCTGTTAGTAACCGCATTGCAACAACAATTGTGTTGGTTATCGCAAAATTGCCAATTATTTACTGCCACATTTTGTGTCGCCACTGATTTTCTTTTGTTATTCTCACAATTTTTTTTATTTCAAAACAAAACAAAATTTTTACTTAATTTTATTTTATGTTTCTTTTTATAAATTAATTTTTTTATTATTTTTGTTGTTATGTCTAAAAACCACAACTTTGACTTTAAATTGTTGCTATTGTGGGAGTTAGTGGAGCGAAGTTTTGGTTTAAACCTTCATAATTAAAAACTGGATTGTGTGGTTTTTTA